GATTTCTTTTCTTTCTTTCGTTCCTTCGCATGGGATTTAATGTGGATGAGAGATGCATGCGTGTGATCTCGCTACCTCTCCTGTGAATCTCTCTTGCGTGGTAAACGTCGTAACAGATGGTAAACGTCGTAATCTGTTACTGGAACGGTGGCTACGGGAATCGGCGAACCGCAGTAAGGTATACGGTGTGGAATGGAGGAACGTGGCCAAAGGAGCTGAGTTATCAACGAAGAATCGCCATCAAGCACGGCGTCGAGTTGGACCAGGCGATCAGGCTGTTATCAACCGAGATGATCGAGATATGTTGATATCAGTCGAGCGACACAGTGACACGTCAGACATACGACGTAGTAGCGAATGCGAGATAAGAGGGTACAAGCAGTGAAACGTCGTATCCGGCAATCGGAAGGTGACCCTATAGCGTGATCGTTTATAGGGAGGGTTGTACTGATGATTCGGAATGCGATTAAAAGACTGGTGAGAGTCGGATGTGCAATCACTGTAGTTATCGGGAGTGTCGTTGTGATTCGAAACATTAGAGAGGAGATTAAGGGATCGGTGTGGATTGTAAATCTATACGTTCGTTTCACCTGGGAAGTTAAGGAGAAGCAAGAATAGACATGAGTACTAGAAATTTTAGAGATTTAGAGTTTGAGAGGCAGTTTATCGAATTTCAAAAATTAGTGGAGGAAACCTTAGTACCCGTATTTTTTGTGGCTCTGCATTTTGGTGACGAACAATCTAAGGAGGAAGCAATTAACATTTTTGAAAGAATACTAGGAAGACTTCATAGCATTGGGTGTTTAGTACGTGATCGAAGAGCAAGGAGGAAGAGGCAAAAGAGAAGGAGAAGATAGGATGACAGGACAACAGCAGCAGTTCGGTGCACCTCCACTTACGTATTCCAATGGAATCCCGCCACCTGTCGGAGGTGGAACATAGCAGGGAACGATAGTGTGCTATCAGTGTGGTAAGTATGGGAACTATGCGAGAAACTGTTGGGCAGCAGGCAATGGGAGGCAATCGCTGCAGTACCAGCAGCAAGCGGTCCAGAAGAACGACGACGAAGAGACGAGCGAAATGAAGGCATATTTTCGAAGGAAGATTCAGAAACAGAAAGCGGAGGAAGAGAAGAAGATGAGGGAGGAAGAGGAGAAGCGTAGGAAGGAGGATGAGGAGAGGAGAGAAGTAGATCGACTTAGGGAGGCGGAAGCAAGAGAAACAAAACTTGAGGCGAAGCTGATTAGGATGATGAGTCAGCATGCCAAACATGGAAATGTCGCAGCTCCGCTGATAGTAAAAAAGAAATCTCCACGGACAAAAGCACATATGCTTAGGGAGATTAGGAGTTATTTGGATGAATCTGAGGATGACAGCAATGAGGTGAGAGAGGAGGCGGGAAGGTTAATTGAAGCCATAGAAAAGAGGAAAGGAAAACGGAAGATAGGAGAAGGAGACAGAAGATTGTCAGCTGTGAAGTTGCGTACAACAAGGACTGTACAGATCGATGTGGACGAACTTCCCGACGAGGAGTGGACACCTCCAGCAAGGAAACGAAGTGCCGAGGAAGAAGCACGTGGAGAAGGGATCTTGGAATTTGCGTTTGATCTGTACCAGAGACTGTCCGCCGTTAAAGCGTCGGAATTGAAGAAGATGTGTAACGAGGAAGGCATAGAGTGGACGAAGAAAAAGAAGGTGGTTACGAAACTGGTACGATGCCGAACGAGAGTGGTGTATGGAGAAGGGACGGGTGGGAAAGCCGAATCGCTATCAGGGAGGTAAGTGTTCGGACAGATGGAGTACATGAAAGTTCTGACTCAGCTAATGCGCGACGACGCGAGGACGGGAGCACGAGGGAGGGTGGTGTTCCAACATGAGAGAGAAGAGAACATCGCCAGAACGTTTACTCTAGCTGTGATCAATGGTTGTTGCCCATGGGCGAGAAGATGGGTGGGGGTAATCGGGGAGGGGGAAGGGGGCTTGTCTACTCGGAACTCGGGGGTATATGCACTGGTGAGCCAGTGGTGTAGACACTTTTATATAGGATGTACGACGAGGAATTTCTTACTAAGATGGATGGAGCACGTAAGGTTCGCCACGGAAGGGAAGCTGGGGAGTTCACCAAAAGTGCAGCTGTGGTTGAGAATGTTTGGGTGGGAAAGATACTTGATCCTACCTTTGGTGGTAGGCATAGATGAACCATGGATCATTGAGAGGAATCTTATCAAACGGTATTCGCTAGTGTTGAACGCTCAAGGGAGGACGGAGGGAACAAAGAAGAATAGGAGGAAAGGAAGGAGATAGAGAGGGAAGCGAAAAACGTATGTGAAGCAAGGAAAAGTGATCATATTCAATGGTAAGGCGTCTTTGGTAGAGTTGATGAAAGCGTAACCGAGAGCAGCAGAGATTGAATCCACGGGAGGGGAGATATGGGCAGATAGCTGGAAGAAGGTCCGTAGTATAGTTGGGGAGAGCGTGATACAAGCAGCCGGGCGGAATCGACGTATCAGTGATTGTAAAGCAGATCTAGGGAAGGGAGACAAATTCATGATCACAAGGGTGAAGGTTACGTCATCTGGGGTGGAACGACGGAGGAATGTATTGATGGAGATCCTGAGACGACCATGGAAGGTTAAGGAACTGTACCAGAAGAACGCTCCAGAGCTTCTCACCCTATACAAGTCAGCATTTACTTTTGTGAGGAAAGCTACCAGGTACTTGTTGAAGAACAGAGTAACCTGGGTGGTGAGAGTTGTGTTCGGAACAGAGATCAGAAGGCGCCCGCTGGTGAAAATACCTTTCTCTATGAAGATAGACAGGGGGAAGGTGAGGGATATCACGGCCGCAGCAGTAAAGTGGGTCGTGGGAAACCCGCAGATTGGGGAATACATAGCGCAGAGGGTGCGCGTGGTGTTCAAGAAGAATCTGACCGTAGGTCAGATACTCCATGGCCAACGCACGTGCGAGGGAGCCGAGGATGTGAGATGCACTTGCCGAGAATCTGCTTTACCCAAAAGCCAAGGCCATGTGAAGGTAAGAATTGACGATATTCCGCAAACGCCGAAATTTGTGATGAATTCACGGAACGTAACGTACGGGGATACAGTATCGATTGAGACACTTAGGACGTGTGCCGTCGAGTCACTGAAAGCATGGAGTAGGGGCAAGATGTTGTGGATTGAGGAGGGGGATTTGGCAGGATGCTACATAGATATATCACGTGGGGGATGCCGAGCAATGAGTGCGCAGCAAGTGAGAGAATGGGGGCGGGAGATTGCGTCATTAGTTGCGTTTCCAATTGATCGCAATCCCAGGGGGACGCTTGTAGTATGTCCGTTGTTGTACCATCATGCGTGCAAACTCACGTTCAACTGGAATGCCAGTTTTGTACCAGTCCAAGAATCGGAAGAGCAAGTACTGAAAGAGATGAGGAGGAGGTATGAGAGAGAAGGGATGGGTGCAATAGCCACATGGGGTAAAGGTGGGAAGATAAGACGGGCGTATGTTTTGCCTAAGGACAAAGATCAAGGACGGTGGAGACCTATATCGCCGGCAACCAGTGATCCAGCAAGACTGGCAAGTGCGAGGATTGGGCGAGCTATCCGGTACATGACGTTCACGGCAGGAGATCAGCAACACTTCGATCTGCGATCCACAGATGAATTGAAGGAGAAGTGTGGGCAGATCCTGAGGGATCTGGAACCGGAATGTGGGTTTGCGTATGCTCGGAATTATGATGTGAAGGACATGTTCGCAAGGCTATCACATGGAAGCGTGATGGAAGCAACGAGGTGGATAGTGGATCATCATCGTCGGAGGAACTTAGTGGGGGTGAGGGTAAGTCGAAGGGGGAAGATATGCATGATGGCCAGAAATCAGAGGAAGAGTGAGGGTTTCATTCTCATAACATTTGAGCAATCTCTTAGAGCTGTGAGCTTTGAATTAGAGAATACCTTCACTATGTGTACGAATGAAATCCTGAAGCAAGAGTTCGGAATTCCCATGGGACGGAATTACAGTCCGGCACTAGCATGTTTAGTATGTGCTAGATCGGAAGCCGTGTTTTTAAACACACTCGGGCGAGATCGGAGGTTCATCAGGGGAATGAGGATGATTGACGACGTGGCGATAGTAGTGGGGTTGGAAGATAGGGAGGTGGATGCAGAAAGAAAAGCAGGACGAATTATGAGCAGTTTTGAGTTATGCTATGATGAAAGTTTAAACCTCGTACGGAAGGACGAGGGATCAAATGTACTGGATTTCCTGGGAACTCGAGTGATCGTGGACGTGGATCCTGTGTGTATTCATGTGCACCCGAAGACCAGAAATCAGTATAGCCTGGCAGAATCTGGAAACATGAGGATACACTCCATGCAGGACTTTCACTCTTTCTCGAAGAAGTCTGCGAAAAGGGCGAATCTTGTGTCTTGTATGATGAGGGCAGTAAGGTTGTCAACTTCTGACGAGGCCACTTTGGCAAATGTAACTGCAGTAATGATGGAAGCAAACCTTCGAGGTTATCCCTCGGAGGTCTCTCTCGGAGCTTTGGCAAGGTTTGCCAAACTGTCCGGGAGTCACTAGAAAGCTACGCTTTCCCGTCTGTATCCCGGACTGTGGAAACATTTTGAAGGATACTAGGGAAAACGTAAAATTTCGGGTCCATGTACACTAATTAGAATGGATGAGAATAGGGATATAGGAAAGGGCAGCAGCGGTGGGTGGAACAAAATTGGGACTAAAAGATATACCGGGTAAGGGCAAGGACGCAACCGGGTGATAGTGAGTGGGCCCGAATTGTGTGGGTGTGGTAGGGTAGAATAGGAAGAAGTAGGAAAGCAGTACGCCTGCGAAGCTTCTGTCACGCAGGAATTAGAAAAAAACTATACCGTGTCCAGAGAACGGATCACGGGTCTAAGTATGGGTCTGTCGGGCGAACGAGGGAAGACCGCCGGTGAAGGAAGCGGGAAGGGAACGACGCACAGGAAAACATAGTAAGGACCGAGAAAGGAGGAGAAGTAGTGGAAGGAGAAG